CCATGTTGTGAGGGAATAAAGGAACAAAGGATATTTGAAAGACTTTGTAGCTTTCTCTGGTGGGAGAAGCAGTTCTTGAACTCTTAATTGGCGTCATTTGTTTTTGTGACAGGCATGTGCAGGTAGTTGGAGAATCACAGATGAATAAAACAGTGACCTTTCTAGGGGAGTTATTAGTTAAGCACCTGTGTATTATGACTTGAGGGATGTGACCCCTTTTTGTCTGACCCTAACATCTGATCAGGAGAAGGACACGTCCCTGTACCGACCAGCGTTGGAAGAACTGCGGAGGCAGATTCGTTCTTCTACAACCTCTATGACTTCAGTGCCCAAGCCTCTCAAATTTCTGCGTCCACATTATGGCAAGCTGAAGGAAATTTATGAGAATATGGCTCCTGGAGAGAATAAGGTAAAACTATTTCAGAAGCTGGTAGAGGCTTAGTTTAGGAATTCCTTTTCATCTAAACCATGGGGCTCATAGGGAGTTACAGGAAGCCTGATAGACCTGAGATCTGAGCTGGTGAACAGAACTTATCACAGTAAAATTCTCAAAAAAAGCTGACAGGAGGATTACCTTCTCAAAAGACACCGTTTCAGTCATATATTTTAGACCTTGGGATTTCATTATGATCTGTTTTTAATTTGTTTGACTTTAATTTTTTTCTTTCTTGATATCCCATTTACATTTAGTTGTTTTATTTCTAAAACACATCCCCAGTTTAATCACTTCTTTACCTATTGGAACAACTTCAATCCAGGAAATCTTTGGTTCTCACCTGAATTGCTGAAGCACCCTCCTCACCGGCTTCTTCCTTTTGTTCTTGATCTCCTATACACTTTATCTTTCATAAAGCACCATAGTGATCTTTCTAGATTGTGCGTCTTTTCTGCTTGAAATCTTTTAATAATTCAGTGTTGTTATTAGAATAAAATTGAGAGTCTATCTCTTCCCCTTATCACCTTTCAGCCATGTTGGGTAAAAGGGAGATAGCAACACTAACTGTTATTGTGAGGCTTAGCTTAGTTATCGTGTAAATAAAGGTTGGTATATAGTTAACATTTAGTTTTGGGGCTAGTGATAGTGATCTCGATTCTATAATATAATATTCCCTTTACCCTGGATTTGACTTTAAAGACTGGTTTCTTTATAGCGTTTTGCTGCTGATATCATCTCTGTTTTGGCCATGACTATGAGTGGGGATCGTGAGTGCCTCAAGTATCGGCTAGTGGGTTCCCAAGAGGAATTGGCATCATGGGGTCATGAGTATGTCAGGTAAGACCTTTTTGGGGGAATCTCAAGGGGGTTCTGAGGTACAATTCTTAGTTTGGTCTTGGAGTACTCTCTGTCTTGGAGTACCAGACACTGAATTCCTTGACCCACAGGGAAGTGCTTCCTGTGAAGCTGTGCTCCCCTAATGATCTGGGCCTATCCATAGGCATCTAGCAGGAGAAGTGGCTAAGGAATGGCAAGAGCTCGATGACGCAGAGAAGACACAGCGGGAGCCGCTGCTGACCCTGGTGAAGGAGATTGTCCCCTATAACATGGCCCACAATGCGGAGCATGAGGCCTGTGACCTTCTTATGGAAATTGAACAGGTGGATATGCTGGAGAAGGACATTGATGAGAATGCATATGCAAAGGTCTGCCTCTATCTCACCAGGTGAGTGAGCATGATAGGGAATGGTGACAGACCTATTTCCCCAGCACTTCTCTCTTAATTGTGCCTTCTCTATTTTCTCAGAGCATCTGCATTAAGGGTAGCATTAGACTGTAGTTAATTTATTATTTCCTGTAAGCTTCTTGAGGACAGAGCCATCTTGTCTCCTCAGCATCTAGCATAGTTCCTTGTATATATAGTAGGCATTTCACATTTATTCTGGGTAAGCAAATTAAATGAGATAAATGAATATCTGGAACTTCTGATTACTTTATTCTTTTTACCTTCATAGTTGTGTGAATTACGTGCCCGAGCCTGAGAACTCTGCGCTGTTGCGTTGTGCCTTGGGTGTGTTTAGAAAATTCAGTCGCTTTCCTGAAGCTCTGAGGTTGGCATTAATGCTCAATGACATGGAGCTGGTGGAAGACATCTTCACCTCCTGCAAAGATGTGTATGTAGGGAAGAAGTTGGCAAAGGAAGAGATAAGCTCATGCATGGGTGGGGCATTGCATGAAGACCTGGGACTTGTAGTTTCTGGTTAGGGCTTGAGGTACTTTTCTGTGCCTTTAGTGGATGGGAGCTGAGCAGATGTGATGGCTTTTTCCCACAGGGTAGTACAGAAGCAGATGGCATTCATGCTAGGCCGGCATGGGGTGTTTCTGGAGCTGAGTGAAGATGTGGAGGAGTATGAAGACCTAACAGAGATCATGTCCAATGTGCAGCTGAACAGCAACTTCTTGGCTTTAGCTCGGGAGGTGAGATTCTGCCCTTTTCACCATCAAAGCACTCTTGGTTGTGATTCTACCTGGCATTTCACCTCCCTGAATATAACTCTGACTAGACTATTGGTTAGAACTGCCATTGAATAGGATAGCAGAAGGGATAGCTAGGAGAAGACTGGAGAAGCACTTGTGACTCTGATTTCTCTTCAGCTGGATATCATGGAGCCCAAGGTACCTGATGACATCTATAAAACCCACCTAGAGAACAACAGTGAGTAGCCATCTGCATGTGTTTGGGGATTGGAGGATTGCTAATTGTCCCCTTGATTTGGGAGTGGTAGCTTGGCCCAACACACTTATCCTATAGAGCTCAGAATTCCCACATACCTTTTCTCCAGGTCACTGTTGGAGACAAAGCTAGAGGAACCTAAGGGGCCAGCTCAGAACCAGACCTTTCTTGTCTTACTCTAAACCTGCCTGCCTTCTCCCTCCTATGCAGGGTTTGGGGGCAGTGGCTCTCAAGTGGATTCTGCCCGCATGAACCTGGCCTCTTCTTTTGTGAATGGTTTTGTGAATGCAGCCTTTGGCCAGGACAAGCTGCTGACTGATGATGGCAACAAATGGCTTTACAAGAACAAGGACCATGGTATAATTCTATTCCTGCTTTATCTTCGTGTTGCTTTGGTCACTCTTGTCTTCCTAGGTCCATGTGTTACCTGACAAGCGATCTCTAATGCAGATCCTTGGAGCTCTTTATAATAATTTTCTCAGTGTAGGACCATTTTAAGACTGAGATTTTTCCTTGGTATAGGTATGTTGAGTGCAGCTGCGTCCCTTGGCATGATTCTTCTGTGGGATGTGGATGGTGGCCTCACCCAGATTGACAAGTATCTGTACTCCTCTGAGGATTACATCAAGGTTGGTCTGGGCACAGCCCACTAAATGGGGACATTCCCTTTCCATGTTCTAGGGCCCATAGGGATTCCCTTTCACGGGGAAAGGTCTACCTGGTTTTTAACTCCAGTTAAGGCGAGTACTATCCTTTGCAGTAAGGAAGGTAGAGTAGCCTGAGTGAAGAATCTGTTTGCATTTTGCAGTCAGGAGCCCTCCTGGCCTGTGGCATCGTCAACTCTGGGGTCCGGAATGAGTGTGACCCCGCTCTGGCACTGCTCTCAGACTATGTTCTCCACAACAGCAACACTATGAGACTTGGTTCCATCTTTGGGTAAGGCTTCTTGCTTCTTCTGGTAGCGCTCAGCCTGAAAGCTCTGTGAAAACAGGAATTGCCCCTTTTCATCTTGTATTTTTTGACAATATTTTTTATTTTTCAATTATAGTTGGCTTACTATATTAGTTTCAGGTGTACAATATAGTGATTATACATCTATATAACTCAAGAAGTCAGCACCTCAATCTAGTACCCCTCTAACACCATATACAGTTATTACAATGTTATGATTATATTCCTTATACCTTATATCTCCATGACTATTTTATAACTACCAATTTGTACTTCTTAATTCCTTCCCCTTTTTCACCAGCCTCCCCAACCCCCTTCTCATCTGGTAACCCTCAAAATATTCTCTATCTATGAGTTTCTGTTATTTTATTTTACGCCTATAGCACCTGGTCTTCCTAGGTGGTCTCCCATCCAAGTACTAACCAGGCCTGACCCTGCTTAGCTTC